TATGGGATGAATTATGTATTTGATTACAGTAGTTACAAAGACAGTATCTGCAGTGTGAATAACCTGAATCAGGCAACCAAAAAACAAATGGACAAATGCATATTGGAATCTTAAACACGGTAACTTGGTAGGTCAAGCTCTGTCTTGCAAACATGAGTGTGAAAATGCTTTCTTTAAAAAGCATGTCGCAATTTAATCCTTTCTTTCAAAATCATGCTAGTAGCGATGGCTGCCTCCTTTTGATCTAAAATGTAGGGTTAGAATACAGGTCTTGGCTGTAGAGTATCAATTACATTCCTTTTTCTGCCTGAGTATGTTAAAATGCGCGTCCCCCACTTCCTTTGGAATGGTAAGATGATAAACATTTAAGTTAATTGGAAGTATTGCTATTCAGGTCTTTCTGTTATGTGTTCTACCAATGACAATAAGAAGCTGTGCTCTCTTTAGTATTTCCTGTCAGACCTACTGAATCTTTAAATATTTCATGCAAAATGGAAAAGCTTCAACAGAGAGAGATGAAAAGAGCTGCCTGCAGCAAGGTTCCTGAACTCACAAGTATAGCAATAGGTACATTGCATTATCCTGTAACTGCAGCACCGGGACTGCTTTATGAACCAAATATAAGGAACTTCTGTATTATTGGCTGTAGTCATACTGTAGGTTGGAAGCTCATCTACTCAATCTGCCAAGGTGTGGGAAATGTGAATTTGAATCCTGTTAGGTGGAGATGAAGATTGAATTGTGTTCTGCTACTTACAGATGTAAATTTTGTTCTGCTGGATGAAAGGCAAACTCTGTCCCTGTGTAGAGCCTGGTTAACAAACTTTAAGTTGTCCCGTGGAAGTAATACAGGCAGAGGAACACCCGTAAGAGGTTATGTTATGCACCTTACCCTTTTAGGATGTACATTTGAGGTGAGCCTGAAGGGGCTTAGCTCTGTCAAGAGAAAAGTACATTAGGCATAACCAGCAAGAGACTTACTAGAAAAATAAAACAAGGAATCCTCAAGGTCTGAAATATAAGTACAATAAGCTTCAAGCAAAATATAAGTTCAACATAATTGTTTTGACTTTAATTATTGTGCTATTTATTAAACTATTTAACAAAAGCATGATTGGTACTTATTCAGCAGAGTATGATGTAATCAAGCTCAGTGGTATTAAAATATTTTTACTAGTTTATTTCTAGCTAAGACAATTTCAACAGTCTTTTTCAGGTTTGATTGAGCTCTCTGGTCAGGTCCTAGAACTAGGACTAAGCATCAGTAGCTAGTGTCACATGAACTTGAAAAATATTTTGTCTTTGTGGCATAGTCACTGATTTAAAAGTGAAGTCTAAGAAATGGATGAGAAGCTAATAAGTCTTGCCTGCTCCTTCAGAGGGAAAATAATGTTTTCTTTGAAATTATATAGAAGATGAGCTATATTAACTGAAAAAGTAGTTTATTTAATACACAGTTTTTGCCTGTGTAACCTGAAATGAGATTTCACAGCAGATCAAATGGTAAAAATGCAGGAGTTTGATTGTGGTGTTTTAGTCCATTGGTGTTTATAAATAACCCAAGTTTGATTCTAAGACAACACTGAGTAGAGGAAGTAATTTCATTTAGTAGATGATGTAGTTGTTCAGAAAAAGCTCTTTTCTCGCTTGGGAGAAAGGAAATGCTGAAGTAGCAGTATGTGGAGAGGCAGGTGGAAGCATGTGGGAATTTGTTTGTTAGCCGAAGGAACAACACACAGCTGGGCTGTGGATAAGTAGGCCTTCTCAAATACAAATGGAATTAACTCATGTGTGGAATTGTAAAGTTATATGTAGTGAGGTTATCATTTAAGTTTAATGAAATTTAAGGATATTCTCTCACTACTGCTATTGTGGTCCTACTGACTTTATTGATGTTGTATAGGTACAGATGAGGCAAACTTTTTCATCAGTGCAGTAGATTTTCTCTTACAGCTTGATCAACATACATTAATTGAACAGATGTAGTAGTTCTGCTTGCCTGCCTGCACGCTGGCATGTTTGTGGTAGTGCCTCAGTTTTAAGGCTTGGAGGTTCTGACATTCTCACTTTGACTGTGGTTTGGAGAAATAACAATCAATGAAAATTGGAATCTTTAGTTTAAAAAACAAAAAGCCACTTCTAAAACCATTTTCAAAATCCATATTGATTCCCTTGAGATATTTTTTTCTTCTCTTATACAGCTAAACACTGACTTGAAAATAAATCTAAGCATCCACCAATATATATACACAATGTACCTCTTAGAACAGAGTAATTAACTATCCCCTTACATAATATACCTCTGCTATGTTATCACGCAGATTCTATAACCTAAAGTGTAGTCTTAGATTAACAGAATTAGTAACTGTCAAGTATTATGTTATTGAAATAGAAGAAAAGACAATTACAGCATCTTAAATCAACCATGAAGCTATGTATTTAAGCTGATTTCAGTTTATGCTGATACCATAAAGGATGGTTCCTTTTTCTTCTCCACCTGCTCCTTGACTACATGTTCCCACCTTTGCTTTGCGGCAGGATCGGTATTGGTATAGTCACACTATCTACTGGATCAGAGATCTGGCTGGAAAGATATTTTGTTTGGTTTTGATGGGGCTGATTTTCAGCCAGGTGAAGCTTTGATCCAGTTGTCAGTGCCAGTCACCTAAGGAAGGATAGAGAGCTGCATTGTTCCTTTAAGTGTCAGCGTGTACTTAGGTGACCTGATTGTGGAATAGCACCTTTAGTTTTGAAAAGCTCTTCTTAGAATCATAAAATGGTTTAGGTTGGAAAAGACTTTTAAGATCATCAAGTCCAACCATTAACCTAGCATGGCCAAGTCCACCGCTAAACTCTGTCTCTAAGCACCACATCTACACATCTTTTAAACACCTCCAGGAATGGTGACTCCACCACTTCCCTGGGCAGCCTGTTCCAATGCTTGACAACCCTTTCGGTGAAGAAATTCATCCTAATAGCCAATCTAAACCTCCCCTGGTGCAACTTGAGGCCGTTTCCTCTTGTCCTGTCTCTTGTTATTTGGGAGAAAAGAGCAACCCCCACCTTGCTACAACCTCCTTTCAGGTAGTTGTAGAGAATGATCAGGTGTCCCCTCAGCCTCCTCTTCTCCAGCCTAAACAACCCCAGCTCCCTCAGCTGCTCCCCATCAGACTTGTGCTCCAGGCCCTTCACCACCTTTGATGCCCTTCTCTGGACTTGCTCCAGTGCCTCAATGCCTTTCTTGTAGTAAGGGGTCCAAAACTGAACACAGTATTCAAGCTGCGGCCTCACCAGTGCTGAGTACAGGGGGACGATCACTTCCCTAGTCCTGCTGGCCACACTATTTATGATACAAACCAGGATGCTGTTGGCTTTCTTGGCCACCTGGGCACACTGCTGACTCATATTCAGCCAGCTGTTGACCAACACTCCCAGATCCTTTTCCATCATGTGGCTTTCCAGACACTCTTCCCCAAGCATGTAGTGTTGCATGGGGTTGTTGTGACCCAAGTGCAGAACTTGACATGTGGCCTTGTTGAACCTCATAGCCATGAACATTATTAGGCCAGAACAAAAAAAAAAAAGGGGATGTACTTGGTCTAAAGTACTGACCTTTGTAAAGAAAATGGGATTGGACTGCCTTTATGCAGCATTCTATACAACCAAACTGTTAACATTTCTAAAAAAAGTTAAAAGTAGGTAACTGTACTGCAAATACTGTCTTATGTCTATTGTCTTTTCATAGAATCACAGGATGGTTGAGGTTGGAAGAGACCTCCAGAGGTCAGCTGGTCCAACCTCCCTGCGCAAGCAGGGCCACCTAGAGCTTTTTAGTATCTCCGAGGAATTTTGTGTAAGAATTGTGATAAATATATTCTTGAAGTAATACTTAAACCCAGATCTTTTTACATCTCTTCTTTTCACAAATATTTGAGTGAAATGAAGTACTTTGACAAATGTATTAATTTGTCACAATTGTTACATTATAGACCTTAACAGTGTGTCTCCTGCATCAAGCTTGATAATAGATTATAGCTAATACTAACTAGTACTTTGGTCCTAGTGAATACTGGAAGTAGCTGTGTTGCAAACACTGATTTTTGTAATATAAAGGTAGACCCCAGGGATCAGTCCATCTGACTTGTTATTGTCTTAATACTTCTGTCTTGCAGGGAAGAAAACAAATGTTTATCTAAATATGAAGTGAGGACTTTTTTTCTAGGCAAACCGTTCTCATATATTACCTCACTATATTAACCCACTGTATTCACAGTCTTTGAGACAGGATTTATTGTCTTACACAACCACAAATTACTGCTGATAATTTGATTGATTTCACATTCCTCTTTGTAAGGTGGTAATTTCTATTTTGTACTAAAATCCTCATGCCTAAAGTTGTATGATGTCACCCTTCTCCCCAGTCGGCATATATCCAGTTTTCTGTCATTGTAGTTCTTCCTGACATGCTGAAGTTTATTCTGTACGTCAACTGGGAAATCCGTGCTAGGTGTAGTGTTAATACTGAAGACCTTGGGAGCCTTCATGACTGATTACATTTTATTAGATAGTATGTAAATTCTAATAGTCACGTGTCCCTCTGCTTTGTCAAGATAGTAATTCTAGTCTAGGGCTTCTTATGCAGAATTCTTCCATAAGGTAAGCAAACATTTGGAAAAAAAATATTTTAAGATCTCAGCTTACTAACAAATGCCTACTGACATTTTCCCATTTGAAATAGTGACTAACTCAAGTTGATGGAAGTGGGAGAGCCACCAGAGTAAGAGGTGTCTAGCGTTAAGCAACCTCTGCCAGGCATAGGAGGGACTTTCTGTAGTATAACCCAGTTCCATCTCAATTCTGCATTCAAAAGACAATGTTGATCTGTCAATGTTGCGGTTTCCTCTTGGTTGGTAGCTCAGGAGGACTGATGTGGCTCATACTGTTCTCTTTATTTCTTCAGTGGAGAAGAATCCTCTGATTTTATTTATTTATTCTTTTAGCATATGCAGATGACTATTCAGGCCCTCCAAGATGAGCTTCGGATCCAACGGGACCTGAACCAGCTATTCCAGCAAGACAGCAGCACTAGAACCAGTGAGCCCTTTGTGGCAGAGCTGACAGAGGAAAACTTCCAACGACTTCATGCAGAGCATGAACGCCAGGCCAAGGAACTCTTCCTGCTACGTAAGACCTTAGAAGAGATGGAACTGCGTATTGAGACGCAGAAACAGACCTTAAATGCACGTGATGAGTCCATCAAAAAGCTGCTGGAGATGCTGCAGAGCAAAGGTCTGTCAGCAAAAGCCACTGAGGAGGATCATGAGCGAACAAGACGGTTGGCTGAGGCAGAGATGCATGTGCACCACTTGGAGAGCCTTCTTGAACAGAAGGAAAAAGAAAACAACATGCTGAGAGAGGTAAGTGACCAAGCTGTGGGTTCATTTCCAATCTTATGTTCTTCTCTGCCTCCTCTCCATTTCACAGCTGTAAGGAAAGAATCTTCCGCCCTCTTTATAAGCCCTATTTTACATTGCAGACTTGACAGAATTTGTCCCTGTTTTTAAAACTTTTTTATGGCTTCATTGCATGTGCTTTCTCAGGTTTTGTGTTTTAGGCACCACTTTTTCCCCCTAGTCTCCATGTGAAACTCTGGAGGGTGAATTGTCACACAGACTGTAAAATTCATTCTTCCATCCTATTTTACTTTGAGAGAAAGTAGCTACCTGTATTTAGGAGAGAGCTGAGAGAAATCTTTGCAGGAGTAATGGATGATTGCTCTACAGTTTCCATGGGAACAGTCGTCTTGCTGTGAAGGGTGTTTGATAAAACTATTAGCTGCCCTGGATGCACAGCCAAAAAAAAGATTACTTAAAGGGGCACTGCTGCACACATAGTAACCTCTTCCCTCCATCACTCTGAAAACAGAAAAGAAAAGCCATTGTTGTATCTGTATTGCACCTTAGAGGAGTGCAATGGCAGGCATTCTTCACTATTAATCATCCTAAACTAATTATAATGAAGCATAGACTACATATAATAGAAATATCTTAGAAAAATAAAGGAAAATAAACAAGTTGTTTGTAGCCAGTGTCATTAAATTTCTTGATATTGTTAAATGCATTTTCCTTTTGTCAACCAGCCTCCTAAAATATTCTAATATTAACTTCTGAAAGGCTAGTAATTCAGCATACGTGGTGTACATACACAGCTATGTATGTATATGCGTGTATTCACTAATGATAAGATTTTCTTTAAAGATTATTTTACATACATCTGTAGATTGAATGCATGAATTGATAACCATACATGTATGTGTAATGTGGTGTGTGAATCTAATGACCTGTTTTGGGCATTGTACGTCTACTTTCTGGTTCAGCACTTCTTTGAAAGCCTGATGCATACACAAGATTTAAGCCCCCTCTCTAAGAAGCCAGAGAAGCAAGGTCTGGCACAGAGGTTTTTGAGATGAGTGTTTGCAGCAAATAAATACTTCTTAATACCTCTTATTCATGTATTTTCCATGGCCTAATCCGTTGTACTTGTGCTCTTGCAAGCATTTTATAAGAAAGCTAGAGCCCATTGCATTTCTGAGCCAGATTTAGGCCAGATTTATTTTTTTAGAGCAGTAATCTCTTGAGTGTCTGGAGTGAAGATAATATGATTCCAGAGTTTCTACACTACAATTTTTCCTTTATTTAGCAACCAATGATAATTCTGTTCCAATTCTTGTATCTATTTCAGGAAGAGCCCCAAATGGCTTCCACTTGTTTCTGTCCAGCAACATAAATGAAAAGCTGACAGGAGCTGTGTAATTTTTTAGGAATGTGGTTATGTTTGTTTCTGCTACTGATGAATAGATGTCAAGAGATAAGAATTCTTGTTTCATTCACACATATCTGGAACTCATCAATCATTCAAATCCTAGCCTTTATGCTAAAAGATTTCCTGGGGAAAGTAGGGATGACTTACTGACTTTGAAAATGCAAATGCTGTTTACCTAACATTTTAAAATCAATTACTCCTTGCTGCTTACCCAGCTCTAATGCATCGAGAAGGGTAAGCTGGGTATGCTGTAATCTGTAGCTCAAGGCATTGATATGGTGTGGGATCCAACCTTGAAGCTGAGCACCCTAGTCACCTTGGAAACATGATGGCATGTGCAGAGATGCCAAATTATCTCCTTATGGAACTGGGTCACATCAGGAAGGGTTTTGTTAGCACCTGTATGTTGTCCTTGAGCTCTGAGCTAGACTGAGCTAACTGAACTCAGGCTTGTCTGCATGAAACTCAGGCCTCATGCTTGGGGTTCCACGAGGCTGGAGAAAATCAGGAGATGCTGCTGGACTGTAGCTGACTGCATCTGACTTCCTGAGCACCAAGCTGCTCTGCTGTGCAGGAGCTGGTTCAGAATTGCTATCACTGTTCCACACTTGGAAGTTGTCTCTGTGCAGAACATCTTAGGCGTGTCTGCATCACCCTCCTCAGCTAATTTTCTATTATGTGTTTATCTGTATTTCCATAGTTTTAGGTTATTTTAGCCCTTTGCTACTCCAGATACTAATTATGGAATTTTTGAGCTGCCTTGAAGAAATCAATCTATTTTCTTGATGGTTCTATATCTAGCATTCCCAGTATCTGGAAAGGCATGCTAAACTCTTGTTTAAATACTGCTGGTAAAGGAAGCATTAGTATCTCAAAGGGATTTGCATGTGTTTGGGAGGTCGGCATTTATAGTTCATGTTCTAACACATTAGAAAAGCTGAGAAAAACTTTAATTGCAGTTTTGACCATCATGGCTAAAGCAATCCTCAGATGTCACAATCCACTAGTACTGTTTCTGACTTTACAAATGTGTTAGACTTCTGGTAGAAATCTTTGCTGGGAATAATAATAAAGATTTGCATCTTTAACCAAAAAGGTATCCATCAATTTTTTTAAGTTTCAAACCTACATATAATTTGAAGTGTGATGTTGAGACTCAAGGTTATCAGATGGTTTCTCAGACAGACAATGCAGGTGCAGTGACCAGCAGTCTGACCTTGAAAATTAAATGTGAATTCATTGATTTCTTCAACTATCACTAGTACTGTGATTGTATTAAAGATTGTGCTAGTTTCCTAAGGCAAAGAAATTTTTAGAGAGCTGATAAGATCATAACTAAGAAATAGCTGTACTGGTTCAGACCAACAATCTCTTCAGTCCTGCATTCTCTTTCACATAAAGACCATATGCAGACACCTAGGAAAGTGTAAGAACAAGGTAAACATGATACTTCTCTGTAATGCTGTCCAATCTTCCCAACTATTTACAAATGAGGGTTTTCTTGAACTTTTTGTGATTTGTCAGTTTAGTATCCTCCACAGACCTGCCATATGAGTACACAGTCAGTGTCTTCTTGAGCTCATGTAAACTTTTGCAGCTGTAGCATCATTTGGTGAGTGGTTTTACAGGCCTACTCTCTGTTGCAGGAAGAACCAGCCTCATTTCTTTTGAGTATGAGCATGTCTCTCAGTAGCTTCATTGACAGCTTCTTGCCCTTGCACTGGAAGACACAGGGAATGGATAGTTGCTGCCAAGACTGTGTGCCACTCACAATTTTAGATTTCTCATATCCTTTCCAAGTTCTGTCTTTTTGCAGACTGAAAAGTCCATTGCTGCTTAATTGCTCCTCATATAGAAGATATTATATATCTTTGGTCATCTCCAAAAGCACTGTCTCGGTCTCCCATATTCAGGTTATGAAATGGATTCTCCTGCAGATAGTGAGAGATATCTCCGTAAGCCATTTGACTCTCTTGGGCTTTTCCTGAATGTCCTGAATTCTGGGGAACTCAAACAATCTTTCTATACAAGTCTATAGGAAAGATCCTATATCCACCACAAGATGTATTTGGCAACTCACTGATGCAGAGAACAGTATCTCATTAATATAAAATAATGGAAAATTAAATATCTCGTTGAACAACTGAACACAGACATGGATCTGGATGCCCTGACTTCAGCAGATGACAGTGTGGCTGCATCACATTCCGCTACCCTAGAAAACAAGCTTAAGCTTATAAAAAGATAGCTTATAAAAAGATGGCTGCTATTCTGAATACCACTTCTTAAGTCTTAGTGAAAATTGTTCATATTATTGTTGGTATTCCGGACTTAACTTGCAGAAACAAAATTATTATCATACCAGCAAGAAATACTTGACGAAATCCAGCAGCTGGACTACAGCTTCCAGAATAGCTCCCAAGTTACATTAACTGCCACCTCATTGTTCCAGACTCACCTGTCGCAGAATTATCAGTGGTGGCAGTGACAGCACATAGCTCTAAAGATAACAAAGCTTGCTGTACTCTTCTTGACGACTTCCCTGCTCCCCTCCTCCCCAAAATGCTAGATGCACTGAGTACAAAGAAGTTTTTCTGAGCTAGACAGAATAATAGATAGACCAAATATCAGTGCAACTTATGGCAGGATATGATGTGATTGTATCCACACCGGGTGTTCTAGACACTTGGAGTACTGTGGGCAAACTATGATTCTTAAGGACAGTCCAAGCTCATTACACCAACTTGGTTAAAGCTTTCTCTTTTGATTTGTTCATTAGTATCTGTCTTTAGGAATATGTATCTGAAGAAAGAACTGAAATCATACACTTCCAGCATCACAGTCAGTGAAGAGGTAACTTCTTGAGAGTTTTTGGGGAAAAAAGTTTAGGCCAAATTTCTCATCTGCCCAGAAGAAAGGATAAACACAAAACTATTTGTATTGGTTCTAGCCAGGGGGAACAAAAAGAAGCTGCTTGTTGTCTATTATTGTCAGATATTTGCCAAACAACTTTGGCAGTGTTATCCCATTTTCTTACTCCTTCACAAGGGATATCAACACAGAGTTTACAACAGTAGTTAGTCTGATTACCTGTTTGTCTCTGGGTTGCTACTGGACATGCAAGCATGGCAAGCCAAATACATCTTTGTTCACAGCAGTGCTATGGCATATACTAATTGAAGTCTCCAAGATATACTGACATATCACTGCATTTCTCCTGTTCAGGTAGGGATATCCTTTCATGTCTCAAATCCTAAGAAGGAAGTATGAGGGTAAGTTCCCAAATGTATTCTCTTCTTTTCATTGGCCGGTATGCTTATTGATATCTACCGGATGCATCTATGAAGCCGTCAATCCCATGGTGCCTTGTATAACATATATTCAGAGTTCTGATAGTATACATGGCTCTAACCATTGGCTTTTCCCGAAAAGATGTAGTAGAAGTCGTGCACAGTGCTAGTTGTTCTTCCTTCATAGCAGTTTTACCACATATTCATAATGAAGGATATGTAAGTCCTGCAAGTGACTTGTGACAGGCTGTGTGTGGCTGTTGTCAATATCTTCAGCCGGAGGGCAAAAACAAGTATCCCTTTAA